GCAGTGGGAGTATCCGGACAGCAGGACAACACCTGATTTTTGCCGAAATTCCCTGGACAGCAGTTGTAGGGTGCTGGAAGTCTTCTGGACTGCAAGCTGTAATCTCCAAAAGTGCAAGACAGCAAAGAAAACGTAAGCCTTAGGAGGGGTAGGGGGAGGGGCAGATTAAATCTGAACTTAATTACATGTTTAATGGGGAATTAGGCTTTATTCCTTTGAAATCTGAATTTGAATAATTGGGGAAATTGGGAGGGAAAGTGGGGAGGGGATTGTATTAATTAGATCCTTAATTCATGGGATGTAATTAATTAAAAGGAAAAGGTTGGGGGGGTCGGCCAAGGAGAGAGGAAGAGAGAGGGGTTGGGTATTAAGGAGGTGGGCCCAAGTAATTAAGGGGATTGAATAGTTAAATTTGGAATTAATTTTAGATTTAAACTAATTGGATAGTTTTCTTAATTTATGGGATGATAATTTAAGAATGGTTTGAAATTCAAATTTTAATTTGAACTTAATTATATTCCTAAATTAGGGGAGCCAAATTAGGAAAGTATTTATGGGAAATTTGAAATCAAAATGTGGGAGGGAAATATGTTGTCGGCGGCGATGAGGTGGAGGGGGAATGCCAGCGGGTGGAGAGAGATGAGAGGTTTCCGGCGGGCCTGTGATGTAGGGTAGGGACGCTGGCAGGATGTGGGAAGGGGTCGGGTGTGGGGAGCCATGGGGTTGGGAAGATTGGTAGGGGAATAATAGGCGGTCGGCTTGGGAAGAAGGGGGAGGCCATAGCCGGCTGTTGTGGGAGAGAATGGGGAGGGGAAAAAAGAAGGAAAATAAAAGAGAAGAACAAAACCAAGAGTTCACCCGCCGGTGGGCTGTTGGGTACTTTGTTAGCCTCTCCTAGGCTTCACCATCACTCTCTAGAACTCACAAAGAGATCATGACAAAAGTTGAATTTCATTTGAATAATCATCATCCTCCAAAATACAAGTGAACTAGCCTATAAATAGGCCTCAGAACAAGAAAAGAAACAATGACTAAAATGCCTTTGGGCTACAACACCACATGGCCACCCCTAGAGGAAAAAATAGAAAAAAATCAGAAATATAAAATAAACTAATACATAAAACACATAAAAAAATATACTCCAGATCGTAGCCATTGATCTCTGATGTTCTCATCACATAATAGGTTTCGAACAACAAATGAAAGTGGTAAGACAAGATTGGATTTTTCTTTAGCTTATGATTTTTTGATAGCAAAATATCTTATTTAAGAAAAGAGACGAGCATCTTATCACTTATAAAAATGGATATAGTAAAACGCAGATTGATTATTTTCTTATAAGAAAATTAGATTGTTTAGATTGCAAAGATTGTAAAGTTATCCCTAGTGAAAATTTATGTACCCAACATCGATTATTAGTTTTAGACATTAAGATAAAGGGACAGAAAATAAAAAATAAAGTAAAACGATATTCTAAGATTAGATGGGGGCATTTAAAGAATATTAACAAAAATATTTTTAAGAGTATGATTTTAGATCTTAAGATTTTGTTTGTCCACGAGGATGCTAATGTTATGTGGGAAAAAGTTGCTAGTGATATTAAGAATATTGTAAAAGATGTGTTTGGAGTTTCGAAGGGAAAAACTCATAATAGTAAAAATAGTTGGTGGTGGAATCCGAATGTGCAAGAAAAGATAAAAATAAGAAGATTTGTTATAAAAATTGGTTTAGATGTAAAAATTCTGATAATTGGGAAATCTATAAATATGCTTGTAAGGAATCTAAGAAAGCTATTTGCGAAGTAAAGAGCTTAGCTTTTAATAATTTATATAATATATTAGATACTAAGGAGGGAGAATGATACTTGTATAAATTAGCCAAACAAAGAGATAAAAGTAGTAAAGATTTAGTTCAAGTGAAGTGTATTAAGGACAAAGATCAAAAAGTAATTTTCTTAGAAGATGATATTCAACAAAGGTGGATGAGATATTTTGCTAAACTTTTTAATGAAGAATGTGAAAATACAATTGACTTTAGTGACTTTAGCACCTTATATGAAAGTAAATATTTTTGTTTTCATTGGCGTATTAGTAAAATCGAATTTAGAGAGGCTTTAAAGAAAATGAAGAGTGGAAAAGCTATTGGACTTGATGATATTTCAATAGAGATGTGGAAATGCTTAGGAGATGAAGGAATTTTTGGTTGACTAAATTTTTTAATTCTGTTTTGAAGACTAAAAAGATGCCAGATGAGTGGAGAATGAGTGTATTAATTTCTATTTTTGAAAATAAAAGTTATGCACAGGATTGTGCAAATTATAGGGGAATTAAGTTAATGTGTCATACTTTAAAACTTTGGAAGCGAGTTATGGAGCATAGGTTACGGCGTGATACTAATGTTTCTCAAAATCAATTTGGATTCAATGGAAGCCATACATTTATTGAGAGGTTTGATGGAGAAATATAGAGAGAATAAGGATGATCTACATATGATATTTATTGATTTAGAGAAAGTATATGATAAAGTTCCAAGAGAAGTGCTATGGAGAGTTCTTGAAAAGAAAGGAGTTAATAACGCTTATATTCAAATCATAGTGGAGGAATGCTTCGGGTTTATTGTGTGATAGAAAAGTCCCCCTCAAACTTAAGGGAAAATTCTATAAGATGGTGGAAAGACCTGCAATGCTTTATGGTGCCGAATGTTGGCCATTAAAAGAGAAGCATAATACTAAGTTAAATGTTGCAGAGATGAGGATGCTTAGATGGATGAGTGGCTTTACCCTTAGAGATAGGATACGAAATGAGCATTTAAGTGAAAAGGTTGGAGTAGCTCTAGTGGAAGATAAGATTTGAGAGAGTCGCCTTAGATGGTTTGGTTACATTAAACAGAGGCCTTCCTATGATCTGGTTAGGAAGTTGAGGTTTTAGATTTGTCTTATGTTAAGAAAGGTAGAGGTAGACCTAAAAAGACTTGGTTAGAAAATATTAGAAATGATATTTCTTTATTAGATTTAAATGAGAATTTGACTTATAACAGGATACAATGGCGAAAAAGGATTCATGTAGCTGACCCCACGTAGTGGGACAAAGGCTTGATGTTGTTGTTATTGTTGTTGTTGTTGCATGAAACTTTGTCGAATCATTCCCTTTGGATTCTAGTCTCAGCTAATCTAATGTCAATTGTCTTTGTTTCTAGGCTGTCTGTCTAATCAAATAAAACTTGTCATGAGATTTCCATCGACAAATTTAAAAATTTTATTTGTAACTATTTAGGCAGTGTAATTTAGCAATATTTCACCAGATTGGAATTTTGTAATGCTCACTACATTTATGTATTACAACCGCTGCCTTACATGATTATGTGTATTTTATGGGTGCTATTCTCAAAACTGGTTTTGGGGGGACTTTTGGTTAAAACTGGTAAGGACTCAAAGAATAAGGAAAAAAAAGTGTTTCCCTTGCTAAATATGATGCCAATTTATGGAAAATATTGGAAACCATATAAACAGCATGTTCTTTCTATCTTTATATTTCACACAAATTAAAGGCAGGCAAGAGGACCTGCTTCAGTTTTCAGTGAAGAGTGATGAACTTTGTTGAGCTCTCCACAAAGTAGGCGAAGTTCAAGAATGTTGGATTTATGAATTTAACCTCTTTCAATAGGACTGAATATTTATTTGTTTTTCCTGTAGTGCTGTAATTTCAAGTTTTACAAAGTCATTTTGCAACTCAACTGTTAGCGACTTCAATCCATTTTCTTTTGGTTCTCAAGATTAAAAATAACATCAGTTGCTTGCACATAACTATATCTTATAATGCAATTTAGTACTAAGTGTTTGAGAGTTATCAGTTAAATTCCCGATAGAAAAATTAACTGGAATGGTTCACAATTAATGAGCCATTAAAACTTGTTTTAACCAACATTAGCAGGAAGGATTTCTCATTAAATCTAGTTAAACATTCCATATGAAATAATTGGCTTCTCTAAACTGAGCAACTCCCTGATAGGGTTTTAAGAGTCATCTCCCTCTGCAACAGTGCTCATAAAAAATGAAGATTAGTTCACAGGTAACTGTTTACCTCTTGTTGGCATTATCTTCTGCCAAAGGCCGGGGCGGAACTAGCCTTTCATTTTTTTTTGGGGGAGGTCGCAAAATTTTCATAGAAATAGAGAAAATTAAAAAAATAAAATAAAATGAATGCATAATTTAAAGAAAAATCTTGTATTACATTATAATAGATAAATTGAAAATTATTACAAGCTTAATAATCTATTTTGCATCTTTTGATAATGTTGTATTGCAACTTCATTAGAAATCAAATTTAACATATCTTTTTTAATGTAAGGTATCAAGCAATCATTGAGCCAATCATCACTCATCATACTATGCAATCGATATTTGATAATCCTCATTGTCGAATGCCTGACTCGTGGATGACCGCCGTGTGAAAAAGAGACCCCAAATCAGTGACTGCGAGTCGTGCGATTCCTGCTGCCGGCTATTGCGTGAAGAAGCACGAAGGGTGAGCGACTGATCGGGCTGTTAGGGTAAAAAGGGGGCAAAAGTAGAAATTTAAGAAGTTTGGGGGGGGGAAGCTTTAAGGTTGTATTCAGGTATTTCAGTTGTATTTCCAATCTGCACCCACAAAAGTACCGTTACCTGAATGTTTCTTTAGGATACACCCCTGGCCCGATCAGTCGCCTTCAAAATCCTTCTCTTCTTTATATTACAATTGCTTTAGGGTTGTAATAACTTAAATACCCATAAGCTTTAAGGTTGTATTCAGGTATTTCAGTTGTATTTCCAATCTGCACCCACAAAAGTACCGTTACCTGAATGTTTCTTTAGGATAATATGGTTTGACAGCATTGGCTCGGTAATGAATTTTGTGGCATTGTAATAGATGTATTGGTGAAAGTATAAATGGAATTTAATTTGATTATTTTCGATTTCACTACATATAAGTCTTTGGCTCACTGCATTCTGTTGCTTTGCTTAGGGTCACCTGATGCAGATGACAATGATGGTTCCACCCTCTTTCCCCAAGGAACTCCAGTACCTAAACAAGGAAGACCGTCTGCTTCGTTGGCTTATTGTTAAACACAGGAACACAGTATATGGCTTGGAAGCCATTAATGATGATGAGGGGAAGGATGAGCTGAGCTTGTTCGGCTCCGGCAGCTTATACAGGAAGACAGAGGAGGATGGGGATGATGATGAGGATGATGATGACGACGATGAATATGAACAAGAATAGAGCTGTATGTATTTTCAGAGCCTTAGCTTTTTCTTGTAGATGTTAAGCATATAATATTGTTTCATTTGGTGAGAACTAATATTCCTGATAAGCTGATGTTTAAGAACAATCCTAGACTTAAAAGCCTGATATCGGAGCTTTTATGTCTGCCATCATTCACTACTACTTCCAGGAAAAAAAAAGTTTTTTTAGGGAGAATGCTGGAGTAAAAGCTTAGTGAGTGAAATTAAAAAAAAAAGGTTCATTTGTGGAGAGATTATTCTGTGCGGACATCGGACGGGAGAACTATCCGGACGCTCGGTACTGCGCTCGGTACCGAAGCCGTATACTTTTGGGGTGACGTGGTACATTTTTATTGGCATTTGGACTATGTCCGGACTCTGCACGTAATAATTTGCCCCATTTGTGCTGCGATGTAGCTATTTAAAAAATAACTATAAAGTTGTCGGAAAGGTAGTTTTTCTTTTTTAAAGCTGCTGTATTAATCAATGAAAAAGTTGTCCGAAAATCAGTGAAAAAGGGTATGCTTGGAAACTTACATTTAAGTCTTAAGCTATTTTATAATATATATTATCGTTTTAGTTTTGGTGCTGCTCCTCACTTTTGATACACCTATTTTTCTTCTTTTTATTTTTTATTTTTTTGGGAGAAAGTTAAAGGGCTTAGCCCATATCATTTTTTTTTTTGGAAAAATGGGGGCAAAGCCCGTATAGTAATCACCAAGAGTTACAAGAAGCCAAAATTACAAGTATAGAAACTATACCACCAAAAGAGAACAACAGAAAGGAAAAATGCAAAAAAGAAAATGGACTCAGGAAAAAAGGTCTACATAACAAAGACATCAATGCCTAGATCATAATAGTAACCCACGAAGCCAGCGGTAGAGACACAAGTTGCCCGAAGCCAGAGAAGACGGTACATCACAGCGTCCGAAATCACAATCTTGGTTGCCATAAGACCCTCCAAGGATGCAATAAAGATGTAGACCTTGCTCATCATCGTCCCAAAAACCAATAAAGCAGCCATCAGAAGAATTGGGAGAGACAGAGGAAGCAACAACTGCCAAAGGCCCAGATACATAAAACCATCACGGAGATGCAAAATGGCCTCAACAAAGCATATACAATCACAGCCCATGCCAAAAAAACCCCAACTGTGAACAAAAGAAGAGGCCTCCAGATTTGGTAACAGCAACCGACAGTCAAAAAGAGCCCAGCCAACAACCCAGAGAATCAATTCCACCAGAATTTCCACAAAATTTTCTTTAAGGAGCTCATAATATTTCCACTGTATAGATTTATCACGAATAGCATAAATGATAACACTTTTTAAATCATTAGGACTTCTCCAAACATTGGAAAACCTCCTATTGTTCCGTTCCCTCCAGATAAAATAGACCAAAGCAGTCAAAGTAAGAAAGCAAAAATTATATTCAATCCTGTTATAATTCTGATTACTCCCCAAAAAGTTATAAACTTGCAAAAGGTTAGGTCTCAAATAAAATTTAACCGTCGAAGGAAACAATGCAGTGAGGATCGAGAATGTAAAATCACATTAAAAAAAATATGGGAGTGTGTTTTCAGATTTCCAAGACAGAAGGAGCATGAGGGATTAGCCGGAATACCCCTAAAAGTAAGATTATCAGCCGTTTTGAGTTTCCCTTTCATTGCCATCCAAGCATAGCAGGCATATCATAAGGCGTAACCTTTGTGCCAAATATATTTAGTCCAAGCCACATCATCATAGTAAGAATGAAAAAAAAAAAAAACCAAGAAATTCCTAGAAAAAGGGACTAGGGGAGCAGTCCTAAGTCAGAACCGGTTGCTCTCCAATAATGTCAATATTCAAAATAGTGGATTTAACATCAGCAGGTAAAAGCTCAGGGAGTGCCCAATGGTCTTGATAAGTGAAATCCATAACCCACAAATGAGAAAATCTGTGAGAATAAAACATTTCAGAAACAAATTTCTTATTGCACCAAGGATCCCAAAGGAATGAGAGTTTGCAATTCATGTGGACTGAGAGGGAAACGAAAGAGAGGATGGAAGCAGCCGTGTGGCAAAACAATTTCCAAAATTTTGAAGCAGTAACAGGGGGCAATTTCCATGGAGAATCAAACTTCTCCCTATACCAAGAGCCAATCAAAGTGTCATAGTTGTACATCCTTAATATAAAAGAGCAAGTCATATTATGATAAAGAGAATCAAAAGATGATAGACCAAGGCCCCCCTTGCATTTAGGCAAAGCCATAGATTTCCAATAAATGAGATGCATCTTCTTCTCCTTAATGTTACCGAAAAAGAAAAACTTAGAACAAATTTTAGAAATAAATTTGCAACAGGCCTTAGGTAAAATTGCTCCATGAATCCAATAAGCAATAGTGTTAGCAATAGTGAATTTCAAGTATTGCACTCTACCTGCAAAAGAGAGAAATTTAACTTTCCAACCCTCAAGTAGAGTAGAAATTCTACTTAGAAGGGGTTGGAAGTGAGAGAAATTGAGTCTACAAGTAGAGATGGGAAGGCCCAAATAGGTGAGAGAGTTTTCCACCCGAGAGATCCCAAGACAAGCAGAGATGTCCCGATCAATAGGAATATTCATAGAGAAAAGAATAGAGCTTTTAGAGGGGTTAATATGAAGACCAGAGGCATCAGAGAATTTATGAAGAATATCTTTCAGGGATTTAGCATTATCAACAGTGGCTAAGCCAAAAACTAGAAGATCATCATCATACATGAGATGATTAATACTGAAGTTATGATTCTGCATCCCAATGAAGGAGTGTTGATCCTTGTCATCCAGACTGGAAGAAAGAGCATCCATAACAATGCAAAAAAGAAGGGGAGAAAGTTGACATCCCTGCCTCAGCCTCGATGAGGAATTAAAAAAGCCTTCCAAAACATCATTAAGATAAATAGAGAAATAAATCTCAGAGATACACCCATTAATCCAAATGATAAAAGTCTCTGGAAAATCTTTTTGCCTAAGTCTGTTAATCAGGAAGGTACGGGAGACAGAGTCAAAAGCTTTCTTAATGTCTAGCTTGGCACAGAAATATTTGTGATGACTTTTAAAATCCCTAAATATCTCAGAGGCAAGGATGATGTTGTCAGTAGAGCATCTTTTAGCAATAAAACTAGACTGACTCTCATGAATAATGGTGGGAAGGATGTGTTTCATCCTATTAGCAATAATCTTGGCCACAATTTTATAAAACACATTACATAATAAGATAGGTCGGAAATTTGAAATAGAGTTGGAATGAGTAGTCTTAGGAATAAGGGTGATGGCCGTGGCTTTAGCACCTCTAGGCATCTGCCCAGTGGAGAAGAAATATTTTACAGCTCTGCATAAACGAAAACCAGTGATGTGCCAAGTATGTTGGTAAAAACCAAAAGAGAAACCATACGGACCTGGGGCAGAGGTATGAACCCCTACAAAAACCACATTCTTGGTTTCAACATTACTAACCGGAGCAACCAGACCCACAATTAAATGGGAAGGGTTAGTATTTCTAACAGGAATGTTAAATGAGCTTTCCAAAGGGGTGGGTGGGAGCATTATAAAGCATCTTAAAATGGTCAATCAGAGCATAAGCCATATCTGAATGTGAAGAAAGTAACCCAGTAGGTGAAGCAAGTTCCTTAATAACATTCCTGTTCTTCCTTGATCTTATCTTGGCATAGAGGAAACCAAGATCATCCTCCCCTTGGGAAAGCCAATAGGCTTTAGCTCTTTGTGAAATCCAAGAGGACCAAACAACTTGAAAAGAAGCTAACTTGTCATTAGTATTCTTAAGAGAAGAGTTCAAAGCAGGGTTCAAAGGGTCCCTTTGAATATCAGATAAGCATTGAAGTTGTAAGTTCTTCAGCTCAAGGATGCAATTAGATATGTAGTTAGAAGAGCATCAATTCTTTTTATGAATTACATTCTTGAGATATCTCAAACAGTCATAAAAAGAAGCAATTGGGCTAGCACAAGTAGGCCTCTCAAAAGCCAATTGGGTCTCCTCCCAAAAATCATCCAACTTAGTCCAAAATTCTTTAAACATGAACCTAGAAATGGTTCTCCTGATATGAGAAGCAAAAAGAATCAGGGGTACATGATCAGACCCAGAGTGGGAATCAACTTTGTAATAAGCAGCTGGGAAAAGATCCAAAAAGGCAGAATTAACCAACATTCTGTCCAGCTTGATATGGATTGGGAATCAATCTTTTGATTAAACCAAGTATAAACTAACCCCACAGAAGCAAGATCTTGTAATCCAAAATAAAAAACAAAACTATTAAGCTCTCTCAATCTGTTAGTAGACATATAGTTGCCACCAACTTTTTCACAGTAGAATCTATAACAGTTAAAATCTCTCATGATAATCCAAGGGATGTCAATACGAGCAGAGAGGTCAAGGAGATCATTCCACAAAACTTTCCTATCATCCAAACTATTAGCAGCATATACAACCGAGAGGTAGAAAGGGGGTAAGGAGCCTGCATCAACCAGGCCATGTATGACTTGTGAAGAGGAGAAAGAGGGGGTGAAGGACAAATGAGAGGAGTCCCATTTAACCCAAATTTTACCATGAGTGAAAGGTTAAAGTTGTCACAACTTTTCTCTTTCTCAAACAAAGCATGGGTAAAAGAAAACCACCAGTAACAGAAGAATGGTGGATTTTAGCTTCTAAAATACAAAGAAGCTTCAGATTGTAGGCAGTTATAAGGTCTTTGCACAACTTGACTTTGACAGGGTTATTAAACCCTCTAACGTTCCAAGCAGCAATAGGGGGAAGGGATATGATTACTTGTGGGGTTTGGCCTTTTTGGCCAATTTGGCTTTGTTTTTGTTTGGGGGAGATTTATTATCTCCAGTTGATTTTTTAGAGGAGGAAGAGGCTTTGTGGTTAGAAGATTTTGGAGGAAGGACCTCATCAATTTTGGATGAGGAAGAGCTCCTCCTTAAAGGTGTCAGATGTGCAGAAAAGCAAAGTTACAACTTTATAGTTAAGAAATACAAGAGCAGATGAGTTGCAACAAAAAAATATGTAATGCACAAAGCATCATAGAATAAAGCTTTGTATTTAGAAAAAAATTATTCTGTTCAGACACCGGATGATCCAAAGGCCAACTAGAACGCTCCACGTCTCCCGGTACACAATAAAAAATGATGCGTTCTGGCTGACCTCTGGGCGGCATCCAGTG